TAATATACTTTGGCGACAATTTGGCAACGCAGCACTCCTTGCCTTAACCTTTTAGAATTATTTTGGGGCTCCCACCAAGCTCTTGTTACATCCAGGCACCCCATACGCTTCAACGTGAATTAAGTCGTTGCACGTGGCGAAGGGCGTATGCCTGAAACAGCTGGAGTAAGTGTTTAAAAAATTGATAAATATCTGTCAAAATTTACGATTGCTGATTTAGAAGGTCCATATGTATGCGATAGTGTATCAAATTCTGATCTAAATAAACTGTTATTGCTTTTGAATAAATATACTGTTTTGCGTTAAACGTTAACGAGCTTGGTACGATTAAAGCCTACTTTTCATGCATCCGTTTATCCGTCAATCCGTTTATCCGAAAGTATTCCTATTGGCCCAATATTTTGGCGTCAGAATTTGGAAGTATTCCTATTGATCCAATATTCTGGCGCCAAAATATTGGGCCAATAGGAATACTTTCGGATCAACGGATTGACGGATAAACGGATGCATGAAAAGTAAGTGGGAGGATTTTCATGCATCCGTTTTTCCGTCGAAATATGTCCGAAAAGTCTTCTATTTTGACATATTTATATACGATTATGTCAGAATAGAATGTTAAACGGACATATTTCGTCGGAAAAACGGATGCATGAAAATCCTCCCTAACTATTATGAAATGTCACTGGAGTTAACAGATGATTAGCCAGTAACGCATATCGCCATATTCCAGTCCAGTTATCCTTGTTGAAAAGAAAAATGGCGAGACTCGGATGTGTGTGGATTACAGGGCCTTAAACAACAAAACCGTTAAAAATTGTTATCCTTTACCACATGTGGACGATCATCTGGAAATGTTGAGAGGTTGCAAGTTTTTCACCACTCTTGACATGGCAAGTAGTGGTTATCATCAAATTAAAATGGCTGAAGCTTCTAGAAGAAAGACATCCTTGCGACTCCATGGGTGCCTTTTTATCACAGGGATTCTTATCCCGTGGAGGACTACAATCCCTGAAAATTTCAGCTCATTTGGAATTATGCTTCCAGAAATAAAATCGCGTTAAGCAATTTAGAGTGTATTTATCAATTTTTCAACTTTCTGAGTGCCTTTTTTTCATAGATTTTGGCTTCGTGTCTCGGAATAATTTAGTGTATGGATTTGGGGGGGATCTCAAAGGACCATTAAGACACAAAATCTCAACAACAGAAAAATTGAAATTTCATCGTTTTAGTAGGTACCTCATGATTTAGATTTTGGAAAATTTTGAAAGATCATAACTTTTTTTTATTATAGATAGAAAGCTGAAATTTTTAGCGAATTTTATCCCAGTAGAGGACTACAATCCCTGAAAATTTCAGGTCATTTGGACTTATTGTATCCGTCTCCAAATCTCAGAATAATTTAGTGTATGGAGTTGGGGGACCATTAGGACACAAATTTTCAACAACAAAAAATTTGAAATTTTATCGTTTTGTACTTATTTTGAGAAAAATGGGATACAATGTTGAAAGAGACAGTATGTATCACCTGTCAAAAGATGAAAGTGGAACCCCATCGAAAATCTCCAGAAAAAAAAAAACTCAATTTGAAGTATTAATTTTTCCATTTTTTCAACCCTTAAAGTACAAAAACCGTACCGATTACCGATTTCGGGAAAAATTAGACACAATGTTCAAAGAGACGGTATGTATCACGTGTTAAAAGATGAATGTGGAACCCCATCGAAAATCGGGAAGAAAAAATTAGAACTCAATTTGAAAGTAATTTTTTCATATTTTCAACTTTTGCAAAACCTTATGATTTAGATTTTGGAAAACTTTGAAAGATCCATGCCTTCTTTTCTATTATAGATAGAAAACTGAAACTTTCAGCGATTCTTATCCCAGTAGAGACTACAATCTTTGGAAATTTCAGCTCATTTAGACTTATAGTTCCAAAAATAAAATTGTGTCAAGCAATTTGGGGTAATTTATCAATTTTTCTGAGTGCCTTTTTTGGCTCCAAATCTCAAAATAATTTAGTTTATAAAGTTTGGGGGATCCCAAAGGATCATTAAGACACAAAACCTCAACAGAAAAAAATTTAAAATTTCATCGTTTTAGTACTGAGCGAGGTAGTAAGGTACCTTATGATTTAGATTTTGGACAATTTTGAAAGGTCATAACTTTTTTGCTATCATAGATAGTCAGATAGAAAGCTGAAATTTTCAGGGAATCTTATCCCAGTAGAGGACTACAATCCCTGAGAATTTCATCTCATTTGGACTTATAGTTCCAAAAATAAAATTGTGTCAAGTAATTTGGGGTAATTTATCAATTTTTCTGAGTGCCTTTTTTCATAGATCCGGCTCCAAATCTTAGAATAATTTAGTGTATGGAGTTGGGGAGATCCCAAAGGACCATTAAGACACACAATCTCAACAACAAAAAAAAATTGAAATTTCATTGTTTTAGTTAGTACTGAGGTAGAGCTATTTACCTTATGAAACGCTTATGATTAAGATTTTGGAAAACATTGAAAAGTCATAACTTTTTTTTCTTTTATAGATAGAATGAGCTGAAATTTCAAGGATTTCAAGGTAAACAAAGTTTGTTCACTAGTCCATGCTTAGGTACAATTGCAGACAACAAACTAATAGTGATAAATGCACGACAATTTGAAATTCCATTTTTTTGATTACTTGCTGAATTTGTTTTGGTACACTCCTCAACAAAATGACCTTCTTTCCTAATTATTCCAGGCCTTATTTTTCTTACAATAAATTTCTGGTAGGTAGGTACCTACATGGTACATATTTACAGAATATCTTAACCTGACCTTTTTTATCACATTCTACACTCGAATTTCCTTGAAACTTGCTCCTGCATGTGAGTTTCCAAATTTGTGATTAGGTGTGTCATGAAACAAAAGCATTTGAAGACACTAACTGACTTTGATTTACTTGTTGACTTTCTTTCAATCTGTTTTTCTAATTTGAGACGTTCAAACAATTTATTCAAATTCTTATATGCCCCGCTAATATTATCCCACGCAGTTGATGCAATTTGAATGGCAATTTTCTCCGTTATAACTTAAGGGATATTTAATTCAAGTGAAGCTTTGAATGTGACTTTTGTAGAAACAAAAATCACATTCAAAGTTCTAGTAGTCAAATATTCACACAATTTTCTTCTCATTCGGTCTCCAAGTCTTCAGCAAATTTTTAAAGTGTCATAAAATTTTCATACATTTGAATCGTTTAAATCATAGGTACTTAAAATCAACAAAACGTGTTTGTAAAGCTTCAATAGTAAGTTCTGACTTTTTTCATTTTTAGCCCATGGTTGATAATACATAACCACCAACGCTCCAGCAAAAAAACATCCAAACTGCTGGCGGCTTCTTGTTGCTAAGCGAACAACCAGCCACAATACTGTCACTTATTACAAGTATATCGTTCACCATCAAAATCCACACTAGTCCTCCTAGTTATTTCTGGAAAAAAAAATGTGTGTTCTCTTCACTACATAAGAAAATACTCCATGAATAACCAATACTTTTATAAGTACAGCAAAATTTACCAGAATTCCATAAAGACTCACTAGGGACATATTGTATTACCATGAAAGAATCAAAAGTCTTCCAATACAACTAAAGAATCATGGAGGATTATTGGTGACTTATTGGGGAAGAATAAAAATAAAAAAGTGGTCATTAGCAAGTTAAAAGCTAATGATTTCAACCACTTTTACTGTAGCATTGCGTCCAATCTATCTACTGTTCTTTACTTATTCACCGCTTGATCTCAAGGTCTATTTGGAGCACATTGTGGTGGCTGAGCCATTCTTTTCCTCCCCAACATCAATACAAGAAATTAAGAATTATTTGTGAGATCAAAAATAAGATACATCGGGTTAAAATAATCTTTCGTTGAGGGTTGTGTCTCTCTCCCAAAAGAGGTAGGTAAATTTCAAATATTCCAAAATATTATATAAATGAATATTCCCATATTCAAAAAAATAACACAAACAATTTTAGGCTACCATTTTTGTACATCAAATTATATTTGAAAAAAAAAACAAACTTATTTACAATATTCCAATGTAAAAAAATACCCCAATAACAAATTCTGACAAAAATAATTCCACAACTGAAGGGTTCAAATGCAAACAAACATATTGTATATTACGTTTTATTGTACAATATACTTAATAAATAAAAAAAAAAAACTCAAAAAAAAGACTTGCATAATTTAGTTGACAAAAAAATGTGCTTATTACTTAGATCACAAATATTGTTTTTATTTCAAATGTTTTACAATAATAATTACGTTCGTTTATTTTTATTTTTGAAATATTGCTTACAGGGTCCATCATGGAATAGATTCCAAAACGAGACTTGCAATTTTAGAGAACATTGTTTGTTCGCATCAATATGTCAAAAAATGTGGAAAAAATATCTTTCCAAATAATTATCAGGTTCAAAAGGAATACACTATGCAAAACTCGATTCAAAAATCTGTATTAACGGATTCTTTAGATTGTTGTTAATTTATTCGGGGGGAGGAACATTATTTTCATTTATGTATATAAATTAAAGGTACCTACATACTTTGAACACATAAGGCGAAATTTTAAAATACAATGAACAAGTTGTCGTTAACAATGAGCGTGTTTTAACATAAATTTACATAAAAAAAGTCCTTATTTGGTCAATATAAAACGCTGAAGAAATATTAGGAACCTATTTTTCACTTCAACCACACTAACTAATAATATAAAGCCGTTTTCTGCAAACAAAATTAACTAAAGAATGGTCCGAATATTCTCCCCCCTTTAAAGGCAACAATCAAAAGAACGTACTTTTCGGCCGGCAAAATTGCATGTAAAAAAGTCTTTCTCACTCTATTTACACGGTAAAATTACTTTTTACACGATTTTTAGTTTATTTGTGCTATTGGCACGCTGAGCACTGTTCCAGATTTTTCTTAGCGATTTAATTAATTTACAAGCGTGGGTTACTGTCAATCCAGGACTACCACTTGGAGATCGTCCATTTTGGTTTTGAACACTCGCCACGGTTTTCTTGCTGCTCGTCTTAGTTCTCCTGAAGATATTTGACGACGCATTTTTCTGAAAAAGACAAAAAAAAACTATATTCAAAGGCTAAAATCTGTCAAATTTTTTAAAGTAGCATAAGTTTTCTTGGTAAAACTAATATGTTCTTCTATATAACAGAAATTTTTCAATCTGCAATGAAAAATTTGATAGTTTTGAAGATATAAATACAACAAGGATATGTAAAAATGAAATAGACTATCAAGAAATGGAAATGAAAAGGTAAATAAAATATTCAATGATCTAGAGGGTAAAGGAGTTATTCTGCCACAAGCAGGAAAAAGAATGCTGACTGTAACTAATGAAAATATCCAGATCACTGTTCTGAAAATGTTCAAAGGGATAAATTTGCCCTTGCAGGATGCCGAATTCAACACAAAAATACTGTTGAGTCAAAAAGAAATGAAATTTATTTTGGTTCAATTTTCTACTGAGGAAACCCAATTATTTGTTGCCAATCACAACAAACAAGCGAGATTAGGCAAAAAAAAAAAAAAAACCTGAGGAAAATAACCTTATAAGTTGTAAAGTTTGAATCTGAAATATTCTAACCTGAAACAATTCTCTTGAATTTATCTTGATATGAACTAAAGAAGTCAAGACCCTCATAGAATGTAGGTATTTATATTGTCAGATATTCTATTAACATAAAGACTGAATAGTAAGTACCAAGTGCGTAAATAAAGAGCGTGCAGTGAAGATTTACTTCGTGTCCGATAACTTTGAGTGTGTAGATAAAAATATTCAAGACATTGGTGGCTTTTTTGTAGTAGTTAAGGATACTAAAAGCAAAACAGACATCGAAGTATTCCCTTCTAGGAACAAGAGTAGTTAAGTCTAAGTGAGTCATAGTGTGGTCTCTGATCACTGAGAAGCACACCACTTAGAGAAAGTTTGTACCTTGAAAATTTGATAAATTTGTGTTGAACACTCTTAAGCCTATTATTGTGGATCTGATAATAAGGAGAGCAAACTATGCATGAAAATTCAAAAACGGATCTGACGGGTGATGTGTAAAGAATTCTGATGAAGCGTATACTAGTAAAGTCCTTAGTAACCCAACATTCTATTAGCCCTGCTAATTACCACTTCAAAATGCTGGGTGAACATAAACCTAGTATCTACACCTTTTCCATAAGTATTTCAGAATGTATCACTTGTATTTCAGATTCATCAATTCTAATTCAGAATGCGTCAATTGTATTTCAGTTGTGTAAGTTCAATTTCAGAAAGTGTTATTTGTATTTCAACTTTGTCAGTTGTAGTTCAGAAAACATCATTTGTGTTTCAGATTCGTCAGGTGTATTTCAGAAAAAGTCATTTGTATTTCAGTTTGGTCACTTGTATTTCAGAAATCGTCATTTGTGTTTCAGATTATTTATTTGTAGATCAGAAATTGTAAATTGTATTTCAGAATTCGTCAAATGTATTTCAGATATTATCAATGTAGTGTATTAAATAAAATTTATAATGAGTCACCTATACACCTATCTTGTGTTGATTTGGGGAAATCTGCGTAGATACCTACTAATTTCCGAACTACATCTGACAATTTCTGAAATACAATTCACGTTTTCTGAACTACAATCAACTAATCTGAAATACAATTGATGCTTTCTGATATAAAATAAACTAATCTGAAATACAATTGATTCTTTCCCAGATAAAATTATTTATTCTGAAATACAATTGACGCTTTCCGAAATACAATTTACTAATCTGAATTTCAATTGACGCATTCTGAAATTAAACTGACGATCTCTGAAATACATATGGAAAAGGTGTAGATAGACACCCAGATCTGTAATGACTGAATCTTATACAACAACACTTATCGATGTTGAGGAACATGTCATTAAGCTGAAACCAATCAGAAACAATGTTAAATTAATTTATAAAATTTGTAAATATAAACTAGTTCGTATCAACAGATCTACTAGCTGTACAACCGTGCTGTTGACTGATCACGATCTGATAAAATATTTTTGGAAGAATTTCTTCAACTCACTGCTGGAATTGCAGACAGGATGATGATAATTCTGTACTTTGTTACATCATTCTTGTTGCCTGATTTGTGAACAGGACAAACATAAGAGAGCTTCCAGAAACTGTCTTTGTTAAATGAGAGCGCAAAAAAAACAACAGAATAGAACACAGTACGAGTAGCAATTAAAAGCGTCTTATGCATCTGCAGTTGCTGAAGCTATAGATATTCTTCACGTCAATAAAGAAGGACTAGAAGGTATAACATCAAATATATTGGAGTTGGCTGATTTCTTGGATAAAAACAGTCCTCATGTGACATTAGATATTGACAATGCAGAATTTGCTGTTCCCGATTATCAAACTCCTGTATGTTACTCTGACAGTCGACATACAGGAGGTGTGATTTATCTTAAAAATTGTTTTAGATTCGAAGTATTGTATAATGAGGCAGTAATTGGTAGGTACCTATTGGATGTTAATTCTCAAAATTCATATCGATCTGAATACATTTATAGTTGGTACATGCTACAAATCTCCCAACTCTAAAGCCAATTTAATACATGATTAAAAAAAACCAGTTAAATTTAATCTCCGGGTAAATTCATTGTTGGTGTCAAATGATAGTTTATAAAACTCTAAGACAGGAATGTAAAATCAATTTTCGTCTAAAATTAATCGTTTGGGTTTTACAGCCTGTCAAAGTTGCAAAAAGTCAATTTTCAACTGTCAATATTTCCAAAATAGTTGAACTTAGGTATAGGGTACATTACATAAAATCTGGTCAAAATTTTACATGGAATTCAAAAACGCAATCACATACAGAATGTTCCATTCAAAAAAACAAAGTTCTGTCACATACCCTATAAACGGAGCACCCTGTATATTCAAAAATATTTTTAACTAATGCAATTAGAGTATCAAACAACTTTGTAATTTGATTTTTTTTTTCTTGCATCACCCTGTAAGGAGATATCGTCCCGTCCGATACCGCACTAAGTGGACACCCTGTATATACAGTGAGTTCATAAAGTCCCGTAGAAATTCATTGTTTTGAAAACGGTAAAATTTTTGAAAAATCGCTCAGACACGTCAATTTTGTTTTTGAAGTGAATACTTCTTTGGCCGCGTGAGAGTGATTTTTCAAGGTCGCGCGATTTATAAAATTTTCGTCTCGCAAGTGAGATGAAGCATATGATGAATATGAGGGGGAGAGAGAGAGAAAGAAATGGCGAATGAAAGAGAGTATTGTTCTTAACGCATTAATGTAATATGTACATCTCTCTCTCTCTCTCTCTCTCACACACTCACTCACTCACCTTCAAGGAATCGATAAATAAGTATTCACTTCTATCACGTGTACTGTGCTGCACGGGAATTTTTTTTTAATTTTGTTTGAAATTTTTCGATATATTTTTTATCATACTCAAAAATAGCTTTGCTGGTAACAACTTTATTTTTTTGAATGGTACCCCTTGTATATTATGACATTTCTGGATTCTGCGGAAAATTCTAGACATATTTCATGTATAATGTCATATGCCTACCTTTAACTGTTTCGGAAATATTAACACTTAAAAATTGACTTTCTTGCAACTTTGACAGGCTGTAAAACCTAAACGGTTAATTTTACAGCAAACCCGATTTCACATTCTCGTCTGTAGCTTTTCATAAGCTTTCATTTGAAACCAACTTTGAATTTAACCGGAGATTGAATTTAACCGGAATTTATAATCATGGATTAATTTCAAAGATGGTATCGAATGATAGTTTGTGGAAAACGGAAAATAAGAATGTATGATCGGTTTTGCTGTAAAATTAACCGTTCAGGTTTTACAGTTTGTCAAAAATGCAAAAAAGTAAATTTTCAGCTGTCAATATTTCTGAAACATTTGTTGTGAAATATGTCTAGAATGTTCCGCAGAATCCAGAAATGTCATAATATTGTTACGATAACGCTGACGCCAGAAGAACGGCGTCCGCTAGACTGTCAAGAATCGTCGAATATCCTAGAATCTAGCGAATTATTCTACTATAATCGAGAAAATAAGATTATCGTGGGTATTCTAGATTTTACAGGGATAGATTTAGGGATATATAAAAGGCCGCTATTGCTTTGTAGTTTAAGTTTCAGTTTGACTGTGATACGATTTAAATAGTGATTTGTTGTAAAGAGTTTAATTGTTAAAGTAATTAGTGTCAAAGTGTATTGTTAAGTGGAATAAATTATTGCTGTGTTAATTGGACTTTGATTTTTGGAATAAACGAAACGAACCCAAGATTTCTGTCAGGCAACCCAAAGCCGTGACAATATACAGGGGGTACCATTTAAAAAAATGAAGTTGATGCTAGTGAAGCTATTTTTGAGAGACCCTATATGATAAAAAATATATATAGTGAAATTATTAAAATAATGGTTGCCATTGAAATTATTGCCAATTGCAGTTTGTAAGAAATTAAAATTCGTTTTAAGCTCAGAGCGCATTTTCTCTTCTTTTTTAACCCTAGTTAAAAAGAGACAGAGACAGAATGGTGTTGGATCATATAATCGAATCTGCCGATAAAATGGGATTTAGGTTGACAATAGGGATGCGACATCGAGCACAGATGTCGATGTTGGACATCGATGGTAACATCGATATTTCAACATCGATGCAACCGATGTATCGAAGTGAAAACATCGATATTTTACAAACATCGATGTTTTGAGGGTAACAGAGAAAACATGGAAAATTTCTATTTTAACAGAACGTTTAATAATAAAATGAAAAATAGTATATTGTTTTATTAGGAGTAAAAGTGATACTTTTTGTGGCGAGACTAAATGTTTTAAAATTTCAACATCGATGTCGAAACATCGGGTATTGAACATCGATGTTTTTGAATAATCGATGAACATCGCACATCCCTAGTTGGTTATAGGATTATAAACTGAAGAAAAAAAATGAGCAAAGAGGTTGGCTATGTCACAATCATTATCAGCCTTATTTGAGCCAAAACACATTTCCTTTGGAATGGAACCTTGATTTGAATGCGAACAAAGTTCCAAAAGGACCTGGGGTTTTCCTTGATAGAATATGTAGTGTTTTCTATGTAAAGACTAGAAGGAATGCTACCTCGGACAGGGGTGAACACTGTCCATATAACAAAAAAAAGTGTTGTAATTCACAGCACAGCCATATTGTGAGCTTTTTTTTGAAAGATTAGGGATTTCAATTCACTTGAAAACCACATAGAAAATCTGTTCTTGGAAATGACTGTGAAAGAATACAAGAACCTCATGGATATTAATGATTTTGAAGTTCAAATTACCCTAAATATTGAAAATGCCACAAGGCACAACAAAACTTTACCTTCATAGGTACAGCTAGGATGGCAACTTGTCAGCAAAAATGTTAGCTGCCAAGACTCCAAGACTCATGGTTCAAACAAACATCATTGAGCCTTGACCTTGAAGTTCATAAAATTTCAGAATTGTCTGACATTTTGCTGAAGAGAGTGTTAAACATTTGATACATGAAAAGCGAATGTCAGAAAACAATTCATCAGGCTCGAATGTTTTGTGCGCCACGATAACTTTTTAAGTGTAACAAAGATAGTCAAAGTATGCATTGCCCGTCGATTTTAAGGTTTAAAGTCAACCCCTATTTTCTGAACCTTGTGTTCAAAAATTCCAAGAAAAATATATGTTTTATGGTTATCGATATACTTTAATCCATAAAGTTTTTCACCATTTATTTCAAAACGAATAGATGAAGTTTCCCATTATTTTTATTATGAACTACTATTGCAATTCTACGCGACATATATTTTTTTTCAAATTTTTTGAACTTGTAGTTTTCTCGCTACTGCAAAAATAGTTGGAAATACGCCCGTAGCTACACTGTTTAGAAAAAAAGCCGACGGATGAACGTTCAAAATTATTTGCGTTGGTCGAAACTACAACCCTGTTTATGTAAAACAGAATAATACTTCGAATTTCCGCCAAAAAAAGAAAAAAAGTTCCATCACACAATTTAACTAAATGAAGATTTCTATTTTTTTTTTTGACAGTCAAGTTAGGGCACTCACTATAGGGGCGACAGCATTGACATCTCGCGTTGCTGTAATAAACTATAGGCCTAACTTTAAACCTTAATCTGACACTTTCCACATGAGGAGCGAGGGAGTGAAGCTTATGGTAAAAACGGGTAACCATTGGCGTTTTAATGTAGGGAGCACATTCCCATCCCTTGGAGTATCCGATTGAAATTAAAATCGACGGACTTTATACAATATTGTAAAAATGTAACATGTATACTAACAAACTACTATACAAAATTGACAAAATTTTAGAGTAAGGCATTGTTGAAGAACAGTACAAAGCGAGGGGTGAACACATTTGACAAAAAGTGTACACCTACATCCCTTTTTTGAGTAAATCACCTAAGTATTCCCCCGGTTCTTAGAAATCCTTAGGAAATCCTACTACATCCCAATAAATCCTAGTACATCATAGTAATTCCTTGGTAAATCCTTGCATATCCTAGTAATTCCTTGATAAATTGCCTACATCCCAGTAAATCCTTTATTGTTATTATGATTATTATGACTTAATAATAATATTCCATAAATAAGGCATATTTCGTTGAAAATATTATAGTTATTAAGATACCAAGGGCAATATGAGCCAAATAAGTCCCCGAGGTTCGATAGAGTACAAGCCAAGGGCATTTGGCCCGAGCGGTGTACATCGACCCTTTAGTTCATATTGCCCGTGGTGACTTCAACGTTTTATGTTTTACTATTTTTCTTTATTCGTACCTATCTAAATTTAAATTATTTGAATTTTACCTGTTACATTTTTTAGTTGAAATTTTGCCATTTTTGTCATGTTTCTTCCAAAATAAAGGTTAAATTCCTGGAAGCAATTTGACCAGTGTGAAACCGGTACACAACTGGCTTTTTAATTGTTTATAATGCCCTAGGGCGTTATGAAACAATAACATCCCCAGGTTAATTATATCTGTAAAAACCCTGAAATTAGGTGGATTATTGTCAAATAATAAACTGGAATGACATAAATTCTCTATTGGTGTGAAGTCTTATATGTTATTTTATTCACATTTCTACACAATACAGGGTGTCCCACGGTGGATGGCGTATTAGACGTTTATGGAGAACTAAAAAACAGATCATTCCAAAAATTTATCAACCGGGATAAACGACCACAACCTACACTTTAAAACTATTTTTGTTTATGCGGTGTTGCCGCTTCTACTCTAAACCAGTGGCAACATCGCTATTTTAAAGGGAACACCCTGTATGTGATTGCATATTTGGATTCTACGTAAAATTCTGAGCAGATTTCATCATGTGATATACTCGAGGGTATACCCTATACCTAAAATCAACTGTTTTGGAAATATTGACAGTTGAAAATTGAATTTCTGCAACTTTGACATGCTGTAAAACATGAACGGTTAATTTTAGAGGAAAACCGATTTTACATTCCTGTCTTAGATTTTCATAAACTATCATTTGACACCAACTTTGAATTTAACCGGAGATTAAAATTAATTCGAATTTTTATTCATGGATTAAATTCACAGTTGGTGGAAAAAGGAATGTGAAATCGGTTTTCCTCTAAAATTAACCGTTTAGGTTTTACAGCCTGTCAAAGTTGCAAAAAGTCAATTTTAAACTGTCAATATTTTTAAAACAGTTGAACTTAGGTATAGGGTATATTACATGAAATCTGCTCAGAATTTTACGTAGAATCCAAATATGCAATCACATACAGGGTGTTCCATTTAAAATAGCGATGTTGCCACTGGTTAAGAGTAAAAGCAGCAACACCGCATAAACAAAAAAATTTTTGAGTGTAGATTATGGTCGTTTATCCCGGTTGCCAAATTTTCAAAATGATCCGCTTTTTAGTTCTCCATCAACGTCTAATACGCTATCCATGTATATAAAATACAAAAACCGTAACAAATGCTAAAAAAAAAACAACATAACGCAAAAGTGAATCGGTATACTTACATACCCAAATGGAAATAAATGAAAGTTCAAATCCTATTAACCAAAGTAAATTAGGCGGGAATCATAGGTTGCTTTTTTTTTGTATATGCAAGAGATAGTTTCATATTCATCTTTGGTTAACTGAAAATCTTGATTATCATCCGAATTAGGCGTAAAACATACAGGGCCGTAAAAAAATCTTTATCGACATCTGCACTGTCTGCCTCTTTCGGACAAAAGAAGGTACTTTCCCTTTTCTTTTGCCTTAAAATTTTATTCTGACAGTTTCGCCTATTATTTTTTCAATACTCCCCACATACATACCAGCTCGTATCGTAGTATACTGCATGTTTAGGACCAGCCTGTTTTAATAGAAACAGGCAAACTTAATTTTTGAAATAAGTTGAAAATAAGAAAAAACGACTCACGATAAAGATTTAAAAAAATGGGTATTGGTAAGGTCTCACCTCTGTGTCCTGGATTCTAGCTTACCCGGCCGGGGTTTCTTGATGCTCCCAAAAATGAGCTTCCGGATAGTATTATTGAGCGAAAGTACATCCGATAACCGAAATCATTGAGATCGATTGTTCTCAACGTGTCACCAAAAAACGCGGATGTAAAAGACCGTGACGCTCGTCGACTGGAGCTGTACTTTTAACACTGTCGTAGGTTTCGTATCTCCATCGTGAGGTATAGCGCGCAAAACCCCACAAAAAGGTATATGTTTATAAAAACTCAACACTCGATTCTTGACTCTGTGATGGAGTCCTATTAATATCGATAAATAAGAATTACCCAATTCTGAACACTGCATCAAATTTGTTTACTTCTAATTGAAGTTCCTACTCGAGTTCATGTTCCTTGGCAATATCATTATACGAGTCATTCTCTGATCCTTTTCTGCTACTAATGCTGCAAAAACTTTCGGTGTCAGTGCTGCACTCACTGCGCACGAGATTTTTTCTGGTGCTGTCAAAAACGTACACTAGTGCAGTATAAATAGAAATCAAAAATGCAATGTCTCTCAAGGTTATGCAAATACCCAACATTTTAAGAGGTTACTTATAGGTATACTAAAATCATGATAATCATAATGTTTGTTTGAATATGAAAATTGCACTGAGTGCACCTCTGTGCAACAAATGGAAAATGCTATAATACATCCTCGCTACATCCCTAGTAATTCCTATAAATCCGAACTACATCCTGGGTACATCCCTGGTAAATCCGAAGTAATTCCTATACATCACCATACATCCTAAGATTTTTAAAGATCTCCCTGTACATCCCCAGGAAATCCTCATAAATCCTTGTGTGTGTACACCATAAATCCTTATGTGTTCACCCCTCGGTACAAAGTAACAAAAAAGAGTGGTTTATGAAAATCGAATAAGAAGTTGCAATAAAATTAGTGGAAAGAGCGACATATGTATGTTGATTACGAAAGAATTTCATGAGTTTGAAGACAAAATCTACTCACTTGCAATTTTCAGTGGCCCTAAAATACAAATCGTCCGGAGCGTCCATCCAACTAATCACATGTTTACGTCCGGACCCGGTACGCGTCATCTGCGCAATTTTCGGTTTACCATTGACTTGCGCCACCTGACGAGGCATCAACGCACCAGAAGGTAGCAAACCGGGAGGCAGCTGCGCCTGCGCCGCTGCCGCCATCATAGCTTGGTACTGATCGACAGAAGGAGGAACCGACATTGGTATGGGTAGGGGTGTAGTGCCGCTCGGCAACACTGGATTTATCGATGGATGACGAGAAATTGGCATCGGGTCTTTCGCCATCCGTTTGGCCGATGGAGCGTTCATGGAGTTACCTGAAAAGAATAGAAATAGTTGTAGAAAAATACTTATAATACGATTCTTAATAGGTGTTGTTCCAACAACGCCAAAAAAAACTTACCATCATCCCAGTCCATATCGGAATAGAAGCCAGTAAAAACAATGCGAAAATTAGTTTAAAATTAATTTATGAAAAGTTCACTTACTGTCAACGCCGTTCATTTCTTCATAGGCTCTACGTTTCAACGAAGGCGACATATTATTCAATGGTATTTTGTCAGCTTCTGGCTTGTTGGGCACCCTCTCGTACATCAAGCTTCCGTCAGGTGCTTTGGGAGGTTTGGGAAACGCCACCACGTCAGGTTGTGGCAGCAAAGCCTAAACATATACACAATCGTAAATATAATTAATTCTCGAAAACAAATTAATCTTGTACCTTGTCCGTTAAAAGCAACCACGCTGGCGTAATAGAAGGTGTAGCACGACCGAGCTTTGTAGCTATTGCTGTTACACTCCCGCGATTTTTTTTTTGGTACACCAAAAGCATCTGCAGTTCTTGTTGCGACTTAGTAGCCTATAAATAGGAATGTTGTTACATTAAAGAAATACTTATAGGAAGAATCATAATATGCATTGCAAAATAAGTTAACTTTATCAGAAGAGGCGCTGACAACTGGAGTTTTCTAAATTATTACTTGTATATTTATTGTCCTTGAATGTAACAAATGTGGCACAGCGAATTATAATGAGATGGACAAAACTCATTGTAGTTTGATCATTTTTGACGTCACTGGAATTTTTTAACGAGTCTTATTAGGGAGACTTTTCCAGTCATACACAGTTCTGATTGAGTGAGTAACTTTTTTACATATTACCAATCAGATCTAGTTTCCTAAACCATTATGAAATCATTATTGAACTAAAATTAGTTTTTATTTTTTGTTCTCATTAAATAAATATTGATTTTTCTCCAATTGAATTTTTGGCCTGTTGGAAATGAAAACTATTTATTAGAGACATTCAATAATAATAAAGTTCCTTACCATCTGTGTTGTACACTCCTGTTTGACAACTTGTATATTGATGGCAAACGATGGACACCGGGCCGCATGTCGCGGCCTCATGATTTGTCGACAAAGGCGGCGCGACAGTCGCGTCATCGCCGTCGTCAATAGGAAAAAAGCCGTGCGCGTTTTCATTACAGGTCGCGGCGACCCCGCCCGCACCGCTATGCCGTGCGCGGTGGCGTAGTGCCGGCCTAAGTGTGCTTTGAGCTTGAATTCTGAAAACAAAATGAGATGAGTTTACCATAAGATAATGGGCATATTTAATTAAAGTATCATTATGACAATAATCTCTAACAATGATCAAATTTGTAATTTTGTTTGTTTTTATTATTCTCTATTGTTTTAGGCGAGTTCCCAAAGCTTCGACAACCGTAGCAGATTTAGTATCAAAACATCAGCCAACAAAGTCGTCCAAGCATAATTCAGTATTATTTTATGAAAATAAAATAGAATTCGAAGCAAAGAGTATTTTATTCTATAAAAATTATTTGATAGGTATGTATAATAAAGTCTATTCAGAGAACGTGTAGTAATACTTTTCAAGATCAAAAAAGTTCTGGTGAAAATTTCGTTAAAGGCAAAGTGATATACTTAATAAAAAAAAAGTACGTAAAAATCTAATCTCCACAAAATCCTTCATTTGAGCAATTACTGCGACTCATTTCATTCATTTTTCGTCATTTTCCCAATTACCAGTTTATAGAGCTATAAAGTTATATTTTATGGCCCATTGATTTTTAATGCACCTGTTTAGCTTACGAGGTATTAAAGCGAGTTCTAAAACGCATTGGAAATATTAAGTTATTTTTCAAAATAAATATGTTTAGCAAAATAACCAGGTATCTTTCTTCGACAAATATCCCAATTGGTTCAACTCTGAGCTAAAAAAGTTATTTGCACATAAAAATCGACTCTACCTATAAGAAGTACAGAAGTTCAAGACGGCAAACAGACTATGAAGTTTACTCTGAAGCGCGGAAAGATCTGAAGTACCATAGTCAAATGTGAAACACTTCTGATCATCATCATACTTCAAGAATTATTGTTACTCTGACCACAAAGATGTTGAGTGGCATCCAAAAATATGAGGTGTCTTCATACAATGAGAAAATATTTTTACGATAACTTATTTTTTGTTACTTATTTTAATGCTAACAAAAAGCTATATAGAAAGACTATCACTCTTGCTAAAGACAGATTCTATGGCGAGCGCATTAAAACTACCCCCTATTTTAATTTAAGACACATAAATGTGCCTGATACATTCTATTTCTGGCCAGTCGATATTGATGAAATAAAAATTGTTTCAAATTATTTGAAAAACATAACCTCTTCCGATTATGACGAAATCTCAGCAATTTTGATGACGTATCTTCCAGATACTGCCCTGGAGTGTTTTTGCCAGGCCATTAATAAGTCTGTTCAGACTGGTAGTTTTCCAGTGGCAATGAAAGAAGCAAACGTTATACCTTTGTTTAAGGGTTTTAAGGGTTTGTTAAAGGTAAAATCTGTTTTTTTTAAAGATAAAAGTCAAAAGGACATTATGTTGGGAATGCAATGTAAAGTTGTCATTGCTTTCAAATTTATTATGTAGAAAAAGCTTGTGTTGCCAACTAAATTTTTGACTTGGGGAATTATCTTTAAAAAAAAAACAGACTTTAGGATTTTTATATTTTTATAATAAATTATGTTTTTAATAGTATTCTGCTTTGTCTGTAACTGTAAGTTTTTGACAATAATAGCATATTTTGATTCGATTTGATCAAAGAAGACTAGGTACATAGTAGACAGTCCCTTTTAGAACATGCGTCACCCATCATCTCTTCACAGTCGAGTAAATATGGAGGAAAATTCTGGATCTCGATGCCTCAAAGAATCCTGAACCGAATGATCTCTCCCCACTGTTTCTTAAATATCTGATAGAACCTCTGAAGCATATTTTCCAACTTTCTTTCAATACTGGCATTTTTCCCAGAAGTTGGAAAATCTCAACACTCTTCCCTATCCACAAGTAACTATGTTGGCAACACAAGCCTTTTCTCAGTAGTAACCTGGATTTGGAAAATGAAGCCGTTTTTTTCCAGGTATTTTGGCCCACAAAAAATGGCGGTTATGGCAATTCAATGCTTTACCTGTATTTTGGTGCCAAACACCTGCCAAAAACTTGGCTTCTCTTTAGTTTCATAAGCAGAATGGCGCGTTCCTACTCCTTATGTCCGTAGGACAGCGCTTTACCTGCTCTAAGCCTTTTCTACATAAAGATTTGAAAGTATTGACAATTTTACATTGTACTGCCAACACAATATCATTTTGAATTTTATCTTTAAAAAAAAAACAAATTTTACATTGCTAACGAACAGCAGGGTTAAGGAAAAATCCTACAAATGTTGCTGTCTACCAAGAGCTCCCAACAAAAGCTTTGGAATCAGGAAAACACAGACATTTCAAAGGCCTTTGACAGTGTGTTCACTGGGGTCTCTCAGGGATCGCATATCGGACCGAATCTGTTTGTTCTTTTCATAAATGACGTCATCCAATGCTTCCAATCATCCCTCCGCTTATTATACGCTGATCACTCTACCTCTCTCCAGTTCGATTTGGCCAGGTTGGTTGCTTGGTGCACAATTTATCTTCACAAGGAATTTTCTCGGATACTATTTTGAATATAGGACTGCGGTTTTCACCAAAGATCTTAGAATTTTTTTCTTGATTCAAGTAGGGTCACACTTCCTTTAAATCCTATACTGCCCACAAAAACCATCAACAACGCCAATCTTGAAATAGTCCAGATCTTCAGAGACTTAGGAGTCACATTTGACAAAGACCTGTCTTTCAAGAAACACATTAACAACATAATCATAAAAAAATCTAGTTTTCATCAAACGAAACACAAGAGACATAATATATAATACAAAGTCCATTATACTGAAAACATTGAATAGTGCAGCCCAATTTGGACTCCAAGCTAGGTACGCTACATTAGAAACAGTGCAAAATAAATTTGCCAAATACCTCTAAAAACTGAAATTACCTTAACAGAACCTCGAGTATGAGACTCGACTATAGGTCTGCAGCCTTGAGAATCGACGCTAAAATGCCCAGCTCATTTTTCTCTGCAGAACTCTGCAACTCGCCCGAATTTCTGACAGAAATTGGATTTCTGGTTCCTCGAAGAAGAACCCGACAGAGGCAGACCTTTTTCCAACTTGCGCAACTATGATCTGGATTGCATAATGACGCGTCTAGTTTCTAATTACAGTCAAGACTTCTCCTACATGGATCTTTTCAATACCGCTCTGAATGTAATAAAATGAGGAAAGCTGCATTCTTTATATTTTCAATAAGTTGTAAATTTGCATATCATGCATGCATCATGTATCATTATTCAGGTTTATTTCTTAAGAGTAGCATTTAGAAATTTATTTTGTACCTAAACATAAATAAACAATATGCTATAAATGTAGAAACGAGTATTATTTTAAAGATACAGTTTGATCCAAGGACTGCAAAGAAACCTTCGGAACGCCTTGTGATCACTGCCAAGAATTTTTTTGTGAATAATGCTAGGCATATCTTCCTCTGAAATAAGAGCTCTCAAAAAACAAAACGCGAATGGTCAGGCACTATCACTACTGTGTGGAATGCAGAGTTACAGTTAAAAATGCCCTTCATGATGTGCCTGTTATTCAACAGCAACTTAAGAAGGTAATACATATTAAAGTTAAAGAGTCTAAAGGAGAAGATGAATCAGTCAACACATGCCTTCGCTTCACCATCAGCTCCAATATACGCCCAAGTATTAATTACTGAGTCATGGCTTCGCCTAGATTTTCCTGACAGTTTTGTTCATCTTCCTGATTATACATTGTTTCGCTTAGGCAGGCATAACCAAACAGGAGGAGGTGTCTGTATTTTTGTCAAAAATACAAGTAGCAGGTCACCAAAGTAAAGCAAAATTAAGAGGACTCCGTACACCCCTGAAACCCGGTGTCATTTGACGGCCTTATTATTGGATACGCCAATGATTCTGGGAACCGCGCTCACTAATGATATCCTACACATCGACCTCCGGAGTCCTCTTAAGCACCTTGTACCAAAACAGAACACCCAATAGAAGCATTTTGGTGGAAAATTATGATCAGCAACTTCACCTTTGTAACGACTTGCATATACAACGTGATTTATGTATCCCCTGCATTATATATTGTCCAATTTGCAGGTGGATTAGTAAAAATAGCATCTAATCTACCTGCAAGCTAATGTACGGGCTACGTAAATCGCCCTGTATAGTCCCAAATCATCGACAACACCAGAGCAAAATAAAGAATACCGCCAGAGTAGCAAAGGCCTTAGAGTCAAATATTTCAACATTTTTTTTTGGAGACTTCGATTACACAGAGATCAACTGGGGTAACCTTACAGTCTATCCTGAAAATCCATGCTCAAAAGAATTCTTAAACAGCTATCAAATCACTAACACGCAACAATTAGTAACGTTTCCTAAAAGATACAAAAATAATAATCATTACTAGATCCATTGACCTCTAACCTAGGATAGACACCACAAGCTTCATAAAATTACTCCACCAATAATCACGAACACGAACCAGATCCTCAGAAAAATAATGTATCTTGTTTCGGCAACATCGCTTTCGAGCGACCTTGCCATACACTCCAAAAACAAGCTCAAAACAACAATTATTGACTCAGCAACCACGCAACAGTTCTGTTTCCACACTGATTTTTCAAGGTTTCTTTAAATATCCAAATTCGAGAAGACAACATAATTAGAGAAAACAGTTTCTCGGTCATTTCATGTATTAGATATTCAAACTTGTTCAGTTAATCATACGAACTGTAACCACAATTTTCATTTACGTCCCGATATTAATATTTTCTGACGTAATGACAATGGCACAGTATTGTCTGTAAATACCAGGGTATATTATTCTATGATTTCGATTAGGAAAAGGTTGTGATGTCTATCCTAGGTTAGATGTATTGCTGGTTAATGACAAAAGCTCAATGTTTAGTATTAACTAACACCCAACAATACGGCGTAGTGATCATGTAGTGATAACAGCTAAAACACAGATTCAACATGGTACTTTAAATTAGCACAACGGAAATAGCACACATCAGAAAAACTAGAATACTAAATTCGGACCTATCTAGTGCTAATTTAGTACGAAAAAAAAAAATTATAACTATTTTTAAAAAAATTACGTGCATGCCTGCTAGTTTAAGATTAAGCTGGCACACTCTAGTTGGATAAGGTCGAATCTTTGAAAATCTAGTACCTCATATTTAGTGTTAATTTAGTACATTCATGGCACGCCTAAAAAACTAACAATGATGGTATTTATTACGAAATAATCACGAAAAGTGCTAACTTAAGACTTGAATTAGCATACAATATATTTAATGCTAATTTAGTACTTCAAAAACGACGATCCAAAACGAATTAGTATCACATTAGCACAGAGCGATGAAACTCGAGTACTAAATTAGCACACATTTAGTGCTAATTTCGGACGTTATTTTGGGTTAGTTACGCGGTGGATTCGATGTATGTGTGCTAATTCAAGTCTTAAGTTAGCACTTTTCCGTGGTTATTTCGTAATAAATACATCATTGTTAGTTTTTTAGGTGTGCCATGATTGTATTAAACTAGCACTAAATATGAGGCACTAGATTTTCAAAGATTCGATCTTATCCAACTAGAGTGTGCCAGGCACACATGCACGTAATTTTTTTAAAAAAAAACGAGTCATACATTTTTTTGTTCGTACTAAATTAGCACTAAATAGGCTTGAATTTAGTACTCTAGTTTCTCTGATGTGTGCCATTTTCTTTGTGCTAATTTTTAAGACCTGATTCAACTGGCTTCTAAGCCAACAAAAAAGATCTATTAAAGAAATTTCAGGAGAGCAAATTATGATGAAATCAACAAGTACATAACTGAACAGTTACAAGCCTGCACATGCCAAATTGATACAATACAGAGCTAATGTAAATAAGTTTGGCGACAAAAAACTATTGAGCTACATGTATGTAGATTTAAACCCTTAGCAAGTCAATACAAAGAAACCTTGGCATAACAGGGAAGTTTTTGAGCAAATCAACATTAGACGAAAACTTTAGGATAAGTACAAAAGGATAAAAACAAACACAGATTATGATCGTTACACACAACAAAATAATATAACAAAACAGATCTTCAATCAAGCAAGAATACGAACAGAATTTATTACAAGCTCCTACAAGAAATTTTACTCTTTTATAAAACATTCTCTAAACTCTCGTCTCGAAAATATTGTGCTTAAAAACACAAACATGAATGAGACTACTTATGACGAAACTAAAATTGCCAATTGCTTTGCAGACCAGTTAGAGAGTCTTTACTCAAGAAGATAACCACCTACCAACTCTTTTACCTGAACTACGCAGGGATAAAATATACAATTGACCCCAGAAAAAGTACAAATGGCCATTTCATATCTTAAGGCGGAGTCTAGTACTGGTCCTGATAAAATTCCATCCCACTTTCTGAAAAACTCTTCAAGGGCACTCTCTAGTCCTATAGCTACTATTCTATATTCTATAATGAATGGAGATCCTATTCCATTCCAGAAATATGGAAATCCTCGATTGTGGTACCAATCTTTAAAAAGGGGGACAAACTGGAACCATGAAATTATAGAACAATGAGTCTCACAAGTGTACTCTGCAAATGCATAGAGATAATCATGCTGAATGAGCAAACATCTGTTCTGTTTAGCTAGAATAGCAAGTAATACTAGATTCTCAGCATGGGTTCCTACCAGGAAGATTAACATTTAACAACCTGCTGGAAAGATTCAACAAATTACTCAAATGGATGACAATAATATACCATTTGACATTGTCTACATAGATTTTGAAAAAGCTTTTGATAAGATATTTTTCAAAAGACCAGCTAAAATCGGAGCATAATGGAATGAGGGACAATGTTCATAATCAGGGAGCTTATTCTAGGAAAAAGTCAAAATAAGCAATGTTCTTTCCAATAGCCGCGAGATGCACAACGGAGTGCCATAGGGCTCGGTACTTAGAACTTTGCTGTTCATATTATACATAAGCCACCTACCTGCGGTGACTCCAGTCGAAAAACATAAAGATCTAAGCTTAGTCACAAAAGACCTCAAATGGGATTGTCACATCTCAACAACTCTCAAAAAAGTGTTAACACCTTAATTTACCTTATAAGAAAGTCGTTTAAAAACCTCTCTAGATATGATAATAAAGCTTTATAAGACATACATAAGATCAAAACTAGAATATATGCAAAGTATATGGAGTCCATATCATGTCAAAGATCTTCTAGAGAAAGTTCAGCGAACGGTAACTAAAATCCCTTTAGAGCTTAAGGATTTATCTTATAAAAAACGTTTACAGCGCCTTAACCTTTCCACCCTTTACCAAAGAAGACAGTGTGGAAATTTGATTAAGACCTATAAAAAAACTAGTGGTCATTACAAAAATAATACCATCAACATCTTTATTTCTACCAATAATACGCACCTAAGAAGGCATAACAAGAAATTAAACAAGGAAAAATGTTCTAAGTTGTTAAGATGTAATTTCTTGACAAACAGGGTTGTGTATTTGTGGAATAACCTAAATCAGGATACGGTAAATGCCAGTAGTGTTAACTCGTATAAAAATCGTGTAGATAGAGTTCTAAGTGAAAACAATAACCAATTTGTGCATTATCCTCAGTAATCTAGTGACAAAATAATACTATATCTGAGATATAATTCCCGCCACAGATAATCGAGATTCCTACAAAAAAATATTTCTTTATCGGCGATGCCCGGATAAACAAAAACAAAAACTTGATGCTCTTGGACTAAATTTATTCTCAACCCTTATCTGTAGAGTTTTTGCAACGAAAATCTCGCTTCCAGTGCATCTGACGTCGAAGAACCCAAAACAAAACTAACGTAAAATAGTATTTTCTACAAAATTGTTCATATACATTTTTTTGTACGACCAACCGTTTTCGAAATATAGCGTGATAAAGCGGGAACGCGCACTCAAAATAGGTGATACTGTATTATACAGGGAGTCCCCGTTCAACTGGTCTAAAATGCTAGGGTATATAGAGGAACCATAGAGAAGTAATTTGAGACAGGACACCGATAGTCGGAAGTGCGTCGTTTCCAAAATACAGGGTGTTGAAATTTAAACAACCCCCTTTCATATCATCTGGAGGGCTAATGCTAGGCTGTTCAAATTTTCAGGGAAAATTGATGTAGGAATGATATTTGAAAATTAATTTAATGCACCCCCATTTTCTACCTAGACACACCCCAAAAAAATGATCAATAATCCTTGGAAATTTGAACAGCCTAGCATAAGCCCTTCAGATGATATGAAAGGGGGTTGTTTAAATTTCAACACCCTGTATTTTGAAAACAACGCATTTCTGACCATCAGTGTCCCATCTGAAATTACTTCTCTATGGTTCCTCTATATACCCTAGCATTTTTGACCAGTTGAACGGGGACACCCTGTATAATAGTATCACCTATTTTGAATGCGCGATCCCGCTTTATCACGCTATATTTCGAAAACGGTTGGTCGTACAAAAAAATGTATATGAACAATTTTGTAGAAAATACTATTTTACGTAAGTTTTGTTTTGGGTTCTCTAACGTAAGATGAACTGGAAGCGAGATTTTCGCAAAAAAACGATTTTCGTGACCTTTGACCTTCGATATCTCAAGACGCACAAAAGTAGGCATATTCGATTTTTTTGTGCTTCATTAGAACATCAAAACGAAGGTCTCTGCAAAAATTCAGCTTGTCCGGCCTCATTCCGCAGATGGCCCTTTTTTTGGTCTAATTTCCCTGGGGTAGATGTGAAAGGTATTAATGAGCATTTGAATAACAAAAATAATTGCACAATCCTACATGAGTGAATATTAGAAGCCTCAATGCAAACCGTAAACAGTCTTGCTATTAAACCAGAAGTAATTGCCTGCTCTAAAGCTTGGAATATCTCGTATATACTGTATTTTAATTTAAGTAACTATAAACTATATTACAGCAATAATCTAATTGACAAAGTTGATGGTGGAGTTATGTATATTATAAAGGAGAGTTTGGCAGGGCACACAGAAGTGAAGCAATTTGATCAGTTGTGCATATAAAGTTCTATCATTGCTTTGGGTGATGAAACTTCATTAAACATACACTACTGAGTGTCTGTTATGCTTTTTTTCATAGTTTATGTAAATACGCAATTATAGCCTGAGGGAGTGCAATGCTGAATGTATATTGGAAACTTTCCAAAAGAAAATTACTGAAAATAGTCCTTAAGGGTGCTGCAAACTTTGCTGTTTCATTGAAATTGGAAAATTCTTTTATACTATTATGAGGATCTGAAAAAAGAGCTTTATGCAATCTAGTAGCATCACTAGAAACAACTTTAGTTTTTTAAAATGTACTCAAATATTGTAAAAAAAAATGTGGAATAAATAAATAGATAAATAACATAAATACCTTTTCCACATCCACCAATATTACACCGATGCGGTCTATGTCCCATTCCTTTATCGTCCTCTCCGTCACTACCCGAGCGTTTCTTTCCGCTACTTTCAAAGTCAGTTCCTTCGCCAAAACGCGTAGGAATTTTGAGACCGCCGTATTTTTTCCAGTACGACCAACATTGCTGACACAGCCTGCATTGCATGTGAGAGGGACCCCATGCGTACCATTGAGTTGAAATAGTAACTAAATAGAAAAAAGAAGTTAATACATATTTATATAAAGTCCAAAGCCAAGATATAAAGGTATGTTTTAAATGTATTTAGCTAAACATATTAGTAGGAAGACATGCCTATTTTGCTCTTATAAAATCTCTCTTTCAAGGTTTGGCATCTCTTGATTAGAATCTTGGCTTTATTTTACAGAAAAAAAATATTATTTGTTTCCTATGAAGATATACTTTTCCAGAAGCTCCTAATCACGAAGTTATTTGAAAGGTGAGAAAAATTCACTAGCTCTGAATATAGTTATGTGCTTTTTCATATTTTATTGCTTGCTTTTTATTATCTAATGATACTTCCACGCTTCTGTATAATGATTAATGTAAAGTCTTGTTTCTCCTTACTGTTTTTTTTCTCCACTAACATAACAGCTACTACTTATCAACTAAAAAATAAATTTTTCACATACCATTGCACGATTCGCAAGCTTTTCCTCCCAACGACACCGCAGGATCGCCTCCAGGTCCTCCTACCGCCGTACTACCGTTACTGTTACCATTTAAAATTCCCTTATTGTTATTAAGTGCGGCTGGATTTGGCTTATTACTGAAACGGAATTTAGATTAATAATTCCAGTGATTTAGTTCGAAATAGTTGATACGAACTCACTAGTTAGGAATGTACACCTGTTTCAGCTTTGATTCCGCTTCCACGGCTTTCACCCGTTTTTGTTGGACATATCTGAAATTGGAATTTATGATTGAAATATGTGACAACTGAAAAAATATCCAATTAGTAATATAGATGTTTTCAATGAAAAAAGTCTTTGGAAACACTGAAACTGTTGACTATATAGGTAAAAGTTCTTGGATTTCAATTTAGTATAATATTATTCACTGTTTTAGGGTTCTATAGAGGCCCTTGCGGTGTTTGCGTATGTAAATGTTGATTGATAGGGTCAATTTGGGTGATGAGAGTCTGATAAAGAAAACTAAATTTTCTGTTTCTTTGTCTTGGAACTAACCATAAGTGTTAAAAGTTAAAATTTAGGAACAAACATTTATATACCTAGAGTCTAGAGTATACTCTACAACTCAGAATAAGTTGAATTAAAATAATAGATGTGTTTGCCAAACCTTTCATTTATTGTTATTCAAATCAAATCAATATAGGATTGTTTAAAGATACAAAAATCTTGATTACAAAGCTCCAATATGGATACGATATACATAATACAATTAAAAACATCAACAAAGTAGGCAAATCAACTATTAGATAGCGGACATGAGAAATATTTCTGTATAAAGTAACAAGCTTTAGCCAAAAGTAATTTCTCAACTTGTTTTTTGAAGTATCCACTTTCTTTTATTATTTTTATGCTCATATTTATGCTATGAGATAGGTGATTAAACATTTTCTTACTGATGTAGTAGATATTTTTGAGTAGGTAGGTAAATCAGGCTGTGGAAATCGGTAGATCAATCACATGTGAAATTCTAGTATTGACTGAAGAAGAACCATGAATATTAGAGGAATAGTTCTTCCACACAAGCATGAGACAGATTCCAAAATTAAGATACAAGACAGCCGAATACCGACCTTATAACACGCTTCTGGAGAACAAATATCAATGTTAATGATTAATAACTCCATAAGCCAATGCCATATCTAAGATTTGAATCAATTAAAGAAAATTAGGCCCTTCTAACAACCAATTCATGCATCTCAACCTTAACAGTTCCGAAAGCAAAGCATGCCAATGATATTTTTTACATGAGAGTTCAATGTGTTTATCCGGCCTGAGCTGATCATCGAAATGGGATCGTTTGATTTCTTTGAGAATTGGAATCTGAAATGATTGAAAGACAATAGGCCATTTTGCTATAGAAAAAACACCATTAGCTCCGAGGAGATCGAGATGGGTATGAACTAATATACCTTATAAGACCAGCATTTGAAAATCAAACTGTGAAAATGATAGGAAAACTGTATACCACTTACATTAGACCAAAAGTAGAATATGGCCACATAGTTTGGTCTCCTTACTACATCAAAGACATGAATCTCTTAGAGAGTGGTCAAGAGATAAATAAGAAAAATTCCAACAGAACTAAAAGAAACCTACCATACAGAACAAGATTACAAAAATTTTAGTTAGGGAAAGAGGAAATCTTATTGAAATATACAAGATCCTAAATGGCTACTACTCTACAGTCCTGAAACTAGAAGATGTGTTTCAACAGATTCAAAACTTAAACCAGGACACCACCAAAAACTTAAAAAAGAGAAGAACCCTTCTTCCTGGAAGAAAAAACTTCCTAACTAATCGCGTGGTCTATAATGATAAATAAATAATAAATGCAACAAACAAAAACATTTTTAAAAATAGACTAGACCAAAATCATTGTACCATAAACATACACATTAGTGAATTATTTTTAAAGAAATACCTAAAACAAAAAACTACAAGTGAAAAATCAAAAGCAATAGACTTATCGGACTTGGGCCGCTTTCTATCGCCAAAACCATAATGATAATAGTAATAAAATGATAAGTGTGTGTTTTTTGCGTTGAAAAAATAAGTAGTTGTATAAAAACAAGAGTTATACAGTGAGGCGTGAAAAAAGTAGAATTGATTAGTGTCTGAATTTAGAATTTATGAAAGAATCTTCATGTTGAACCAATAAAAGTCTTGTGAATGTTTTTGGTGCTTGGAAATACTGAGTAGTTTGTAATTATAATCCTAGGCATATTTTTGGTTCAAAATTGCATATTGGTCAAAATCTGTTACCACGAAATATAAAAGACAAGGGCCAAAATAAGTGTGAAAGTGCATTTTCTAGACTTTTTCCACAATATTTCACTTCTTCACAATCAAAGCTATCCTAAGTTAATTAAGAAAGTGCGCTTGACAAAAATACAAAGTAAAATGGAGCTTAGTCATTCAAATCCTTTCCTAGGCCTATTTTTGGTTCAAAATGGCTATAACAACCATCTAACAGTCCAAATATGATCACAAAAGTGCTTTCTTTTGGCTTTTTCTCATGAAATATGGAAAAAAGTGCCAAAATAAGTGTCAAATTGCATTTTCTAAACCTATACACTCAGGTTTATAGTCATTCAAATCCTTTCCCAAGCTTATATTTGGTTCAAAATTGTATTGAAACATTGAAACACACATACTTGATGGTCCAGAAGATTTGGTCAAAATAGTACTTTTTTTGGATTTCACCCATGAAATATTGAAAAACATGGCCAAAATAAATATGAAATTGCATTATCTAATACATATTCTGCAATATATATTTCAGTTCTCCTTTCTCCTTGATCAAAATCTATCCGAAGTAGGCTGAAAATGCATATTTAAGAAAAAAAACATCAACAAACAAATTAGAGTTTATAAACTAAATACAAATCCTTTCCTAGGCGTATTTTTGGTTCACATGTGGTCTTAGAACAAAAACAAATACCTTCTATTCAGGAATATAATCTGAAGACTATGATATAGTGGCCCTTACTGAAACATGGTTAAATTCTGGATTCCTAAATTCTGAGCTATTTGATAGCAGATATACAGTGGTCAGGGAGGACAGATTAAATGACAAACTTAGAGGATGCGCACAAAAGAGAGCTAGTCTGTGAAATAATCCCGAAAATAATTGATATTGACTGTGATTGCGTGATTGTAAAGGTAAATTTTAAAAATGTATTAATTTATGTTTCTGTAGTTTATTTTATTCCAAATTCTGGATGTAGAGCTTTAATCAGGATTTCAATTTATTTGAGGATAATCATTGTTTGGCAATTCAAATGTAATTTTGCTAGGCAATTTCAATTTACCACATTCCAATGTTGTTAGCAATGATGTAAACGATAAAAATGTATTGATGTGGCAGTTCCTTAGCATGTACCTTCAACCTACTGCAAGTACACAATGTTCCTAATTCTATTTATAGGTTTTTAGATTTAGTACTGACAAACATGAATGTCCACAGTGTGACCAAGTCTGAATGCCAATGGGTCTATGAAGACCCATATCACCTAGCCCTAGACCTGCATGTAAAGATGATGGAGATACAAGAAAAAACTATTAATAAAAAAGCGTATGTCTATGACTATGCTAAAGGTATTTAACTTCTTACTTCTTTATCAGTTTATTTCGGATTATGATTGGTGCTTGTTACTGACATGTTAGGATGTGGGAACGGGTATGAATGTTTTTTATAAAAGTATGTACAGATTCCTAGATTACTCTATACCAAAGATCAAAATTAATTTCCTACCTGATTCTCCTCGTTCGTAAAATTAGGAGGAAAAATAGGCTTCATCGTTTTTACTTAAGAAACGGGCCAGATAACTCAGAGAGTGCAGAATATCTGATATTAAGAGTACCAAATTAGGAATCAAACAAAATTTGAAAACAATGCATATAAAACATCAATTGAAAGCAGGCTCATGGCAGATCCGAACACTTCCTGGGCATTCTTCAAAAATAAAACAAAAAAATGTCAGAATCCCGGTGGAAATGACATTCAATGGTACTGTTAGCATCAATGCATTAGACATTAGACTGTTCTGACTACCGCTTAGAAGATATAGAAGGGGGTTATTTCTGATTTAGAAAGATAACTGAACTTGATGTCATCAAAAGTAAGAAAAAACTCAAACCTAAAAAATCTACAGGTCCAGACGAAATACTAGCATTTATCTATAAGGGATGTGCTGAGATGTTGACATCCAACAAGACCGCTGGCCCACCTTTTTAACATATCAATAGAACAGGAAAGCTTTTCTGATCTCCTCAAGCTGGCAACATTATCACCAATTCACAATAAAGGTAAAAAAAATGAAATACAAAATTATAGGCTTATCAGTCTACCGAACAGTAGTATCAAAATTTTTCAAAACATACTGTATAGTGATATGATCACGTAAAACATAGGATTAACAGGCACCAATATGGCTTTATAAGTGACAAATCCAATGTAACAAACCTCTGCACACTATCAGAACACATATCAAAAGCAATAGAAGAAAAGCGGCAGTTGAATGTACTATACACTGATTGCGAAAAGGCATTTGACAAGGTTGATCATTGCATTAACGGAAATCAAATTGACAGAAAAAGCACTATTAAAGATCTCGGGGTCAATTTTCAAACAAATAATGCAAGGTTTAACATCCACTTCTGCGACATTGTCAATAAAGCATTGGGGTTTGTATCGCGCAATGGCAAAAACTATAACCTAAACACCATTTTAAAACTTTATAATGCCTTGGTGAGACCTCACATGGGGTACACCTCGAACATCTGGTCACCTGTGGCATTTTCTAACTCAAGATTTAATTGAAAAAGTGCAAAAACGTTTCGTAAGACATATGTATGTAAGGAAAAATAATGAGTTCCCATGGTCTTATACAGGGCAATGCTGGAAACCTTTGAGATTCAAACATTGTCCAGTAGAATAAATAACTAAACAATGATTTTTATGTAGGTATTATATAATTCACAAAATTAAATACAAAGCCTGTGATCTAATTAACTATATCTCATTGATGGACGGTATTATAAAACACTGAACCGATGGTTGAAATTCAACCTTCCGTTGACTCCATGCAAATTGATAGGATTCAACCGAAGGTTGAAACTCAATCATCGGTTCAGTGTTTCATAATACCGGCCCTGAGAGACAAGAGTACCAAAGACTAGGTTAAAAATTACTGATAAATAATTTTTCTTTGTAGATAAATCTAATAGCACATCGCCAGTAAATAGTATGTTAAGAGTGTGTAATATGTTGAGCGATATGGAAAATGTAGACATGTGTAATATTGCAGAAATTGAAAGACTGCTCAAGAACAAAGACAGGATGACAAAAGTGATGATCAAATAAATGTAAACTACCTTCTTGTTTTTTATTTCTTATATGTATATGTTATATAAGTGAAAGTTGTGCCTGTATTAATTCAAGGATGTAATAACCACTTATTAGGTACCTATTACTGTATTATTGTCTCTTTTTTTTTTAATTTTTAGTTATAAGTCTAGTTGTAAGCACTTTTACATGCAGTCATCTTTGGTGTTTGTGAGAAGTTTTAAAATAAATTTAAAAAATTGCATAAAAAACCACATAATGGTTCAAATTTGGTCCCAAAAATGCTTTCTTTTGGTTTTTTTCTAAGGCCTTTTCCCATGAAATAAGGATAAAAGTGTAAAAATAGGTGTAAAATTGCATTTTATAGAAATTTTCTGCAATATTTCACTTCTTCTATCCAAAGTAGGCTTTCAATGCTTGTTTAACAGAAATACAACCTAAACTGGACCTAATAGCCATAAAAATCCTTTCCTTTTTTCTTGAAATATGGAAAAAAGTACAAAATAAAGTGTAAAATTGAGTTTTTTAGACATTTCCTGCAATATTTTACTTCTTCCTAATCAAAATGTATCCCAAGTAGGCTTGGAATGCGCGTTTCTCACACACACAAATTGGAAGTGAAAATTCTATCCTATCCTAGACATATTTTTATTTGCATCGAAAGTGAATTTTAAATATAAAAGGATCTCAATAATTTTTGTTGTAAATCATGTATGGGAGTTTCTTTGACTGAGAACAATAAATTCAAAAAAAGAGTCAGGACATTTTGAAAAAAAAAAACATAAGCCATAATCATCAAAAGAATTTTTGAAAACGATAAATTTTTTGAGAACGAAAAACAGAGCATGGGGAAGATCAATGAAAAAAATAAATTTATTCGAGGTTGGAGTTTGTAGAAACTTATGGAAATAAATAAAATGGCTTCTAAGGGCAAATTAAGCAATTTTGCAATTTCTCTAGTAAATGGGCACATCTCTGATCATCTAGGACAGCTAATAAAAATAAACACCTCAATTATAAAAGAACATCAGTATACATACTCCAGGGACTATGGCTTACACAACATAAATAACTATTATAAAAGACCTAGCTATTGAAACTTGGACACCCATATATGAAAACATCAGCATGGATCTGAAGTGGAATTCTTTTAAAAACTTATTTTTGTACTATTTCCACCTACATTTCCCATTAAAAAAGTATTACCCACATTAATCTAAAAATACTAAGCACTCTGAGGAAATAGAATCTTGCAAAAAACAATTGGATTTATAATTTATACTATATGTTATCTCGATACAATAGTAACTATAAAAGTCAATATAACCAGTTAAAATTCCAATATAATAGCATGTTGAAGAAATCTCAAAGCAATTCAATAAAGAACCGTCTGACACAAGCAGATAATATGTCTAAAGTAACATGGCAAATCATAAATGAACAAACAAATCGTAAAAGCAAAATCTAAACCTTGCCGGATGGGAGTTCAGAGGAATTAGCGAAACATTTTAACTTACATTTTGTAAATAGCTCACCTTTCATAAACCAACCAAATATAAAATTCATCAACTATGTACCAGAGGAATTATAATTCTATATTTCTGACACCAGTGACTGAGGGTGAAGTAGTAAAATTCACGCAGGATTTAAGAAACAAAAAGTCCTCAAGTGAAGAAAACATTCCCACTTTTCTTTTGAAAGTGGAAAATTTCCACTAGATCTTAAAAAATCAACTATTGTCCCAGTATTCTAAAAAAGGTGACAAAGAAGTTTTGTCAAACTATAGACCGATAAGTCTACAATCATCCTTTTCAAAGTTATTTGAAAAAGCCATGTATGATAGATTAATGAGTTTTCTGGTATAGTATAATACTCTGCATCCTTTCCAACATGGGTTTCTAGAGTGTCGGTCTATTGACACTGCTATACAGGACTTTATTGAGCCAGTGTTAGACACTTTGGAGGTTGGTCGGGAAGTCTGTGAGCTTTTTCTGGACCTCTCCAAGGCGTTCGACAGTTTAAATCATGAACTTTTCTTGTCAAAAATGTATAATTATGGCATAAGGGGCCAATCTCACCAGTGGATACAATCCTATTTGAAGGATAGGACTCAGGTAGTAAAAGTTAAAAGAGAGGGGGAAGAAAACATTTCAAAAACACAAATAAGCAATCTGGGTATATCACAGGGAAGCATTCTGGGCCCATTATTATTTGTAATATTTTTAATAATCGATATGCATCTAAATATTGATGTCTATGATTGTAAGATTGTGAATTAGGTTGATGATACGAATGTAGTTCTACACTCAAAATCTATGGAAGATATGCTTGAGTCATGTGAACACCATTTAAAGTGTTTGGAAAATTGGTTCATCGAAAATAGGCTTGGATTAAATGCTCAAAAGACACAATGTGTGTTTTTCAAAACAAATAGAAATAAAAGAAATATGCCTGATAGTATGAAGTTAAAAAACAACTGCATTCCTGTAAGCAATAGTTGTAAGTTGTTGGGAGTGAACACTGATTCATGTCTACATTTTCAAAATCATGTTAAATGTCTACTAAAAAGGCTTTCTTCATCATGTTATGCATTGGGGGTTTTGGCTCAACATTCAAACTTTTGTACATTAAAAACTACCTACTATGGAATATTCTACTCATATCTTAAATATGGTATAATTTTTTTGGGGAAGCCCTTCAAATTTAAATGCTGTTTTCAAAAACCAAAAAATGGCCCTTAGGATAGTAAACAAAGCTCAACCACTAAGCAGTTGCCAAGGTCTCTTCAAATCTGCAAATCTTCTCACATTGCCTGCGGTATTAATATTAGAGAAAATTTTATTTGTGAAAAGAAACTCCCATATTTTTGATAGTTTCCTAGTCAGCCATAGTCTCGGCCATAGTCATAGTACTTGTGGAGTAAATGTCTTGTAGAATATTCCCATGCATCAGCTTACATTAACTGAAAGAAATTGCTTTTATTCCTGCATCAAACTGTGCAACCAGTTACCAAAGAAAGTTAGGGATATAAATAATCTTAAACTGTTTAAGAGAAATCTTTTTGAATTTCTGTGTGATGTAGAACCATATACTATGGAAGAATATCATAGCAAGCTGAGTGATATAGCCTTGTAGGTCTAGGAAATTTTAGTTGTATAGGTACTTTAAGTGTTAATTAGTTAATTTTGATAATTCAATGCAAAACTTTTTGTTATCATTCATATGTGTAGTTTTGATTTTTGTTATTTTTTTTTTCCACACATACTTTCAAAATATTTTTGTAATGAAATGTTGCGTATAACCTGGACCTGTTTTAAACTGATTGCAGTATCTATTGTTGTACTTATTTGTTTCAAAATAAAAGAAATGATCTATCTATCTATTTCTAACAGGAACAAGTCCCAATTACAGGAAAAATGAGTTTTCTGTACACATTACAATTATGACGTCCTGTTCAGTATAGCAACGATAATTCTTGACAAACAGTCCCCTTGCTTATTTGATGTATTTATCATAACATGAGATTTACTTTCCAACAATTGAAAACTAACATTGGTTTTTCAACCTGACTGACTCCCAAGTAAACTGTCACAGAATTAAAAATCTTCATATACAACAGAAAACATCAGCATAATATCTAACACTAATCTTCAATATGTTACCAGATTCTTTCAAAATTGGGAAATATAATAAAATTAAAAAACGAGTTAACACATGGATTTTTGAAAATGAACTTCTGGTACCATTATAATAGTGATTACAATTACTTAAATTTAATATTTCTGTCATTTTCTTCACCTAAGAATTAATTGTTATTTTTTTTTTTTTTTTAATTGTTATCTTTTTTATATTCTATAGGTTATAAAACCAAGTTTACTGTTAATTTAATTTAGAGGTTTTCTTGGGCATACACACACAAACTCTAGGGTTCATTTGTATGTCCAGAAGATATGTTAATCTTACATTGTATACTAATTTTGCAGTGAAATAAATAAAAATAAAAAAATAAAAAATAAATGAGCATAAAGCACATCGAGCATAAAAAAAGACCCTCATCAGAAATTTAATAGCTTTCCATACAAATATAAAGTATGATTTTGGAATATCTACTCTCAGGATGTCCACTACTTAAAAAAAATAGCATCAGAAAGATCAAAGTCATAGAAGAGCCAATACCAAGATCTACCATTCAACAAACCCTCTATATTGCCCACTCAACCATCTTCTGGATAACCTTATAAACATTGAACCTAACATATGGACTGACATTAAACATTCTGTTTATCAAGAAAATAACATAAACGCCATATCCATTGACATCTAAAACAATTTAAGTAGCTGTATGATAAATTACCATAAATAAATAAAATATGTCAATATAGTTATCAAATGCACATGTAAATTTACAAACAGGTATTAGAACTTATTATGTTCACATCTCTGTTAACTTTACAATTATTAGTTGAACGAAAGCAAACACATCAATTTGTATTTGATAATTGGTACAAAAAATAAAACTCTTTCATGGACTCAACTAATAATGCTTTTCTGCAGCTTTGAGCCCTTTTTTTAAGTTTAGCGGCTTAGCGTATGTTTGGACTGGACCTAAACTTAAATACTTACCGATCAGTCGTTTTCCACATATAATAATATTCAATGATATTCTTCAAAGTTTTCCAAGGCAAAAAATCTTGCCGGATATCATTGAAGTCTTTCCCATATTTATCCAAAGCCTCCTCGAATAAGTTAGCCTCCGAAGCACTCCACTCTTCCATCTCGTCTCGACACAACACCGGACCGCTGGAAGGTACCAACGAACACATAGCGTTCGCCAAATCGTACTCGTGCCTATGCAAAGTGTCCATGGCGTGAAATAAGGTAATGTCTCTGCTGGCTGCAGCGGCGGACATGTGTAACGAGGGCTGTTTAACGCTCGAACTGCAGTCTAAAGCTCGCGCAAACGTACCAACAGATCGCGACACCACCAACACTTGGTCTATTTGTCGATCACTTAAATTATGATGCGGAGTCCACACTAGCGTTTCGGTTTCCGAGTGATCTCTGGGGTCCGGCTCTCCTTCGCAAAGAAAAGGTTGAATGTCGCACTGGTACCGGCTACCAACGCGGATTTCACCTTTGTCCGCTAGGAGTGTTTTTTGCGTCGGGTCATATACTAAACAATAGAAAAACATGTCATCTTTGTTGAGATAGGAGGAAAGGGCTTCGGTTTCGTTGAATAGTGTCACTGAACATTTGCCTCGTATGTGCGTGGCCGGAAGCGTTTCTACCTGAAATATTTGAATCAAATCGGGTTCAAAACAATTTTAAAATGTTACTTGTCTGGAAAGGAAGAGTTCTCTATGCTTCATTTGGTGCCGTTGTTTGGGACCAAGCTGATCACTTGACAGAGACGAGTCGGATATTGGACTTTCATTCGTTTCATCTAAGGCACCTGGAAAAAAAAGGAAAAATATAGTTGAAACTTGAGATCAGTTAAAAAAAAAATTAAATGAAGGCTATTTGTACTTGTCTTGAAAAGTATTTAAACATACTAGTAGATTTTTAAACACATATTGCAATCGCCAGGATAATAAAACCCTAGCTTACACATTACATATTTACAATAAATAATCTTCCTTTACAAATTTTAATTTTTTTAGTATGCTAGCTGGCATAATGATAAATAAACCAGCTGGAACTAAACGCAACATCTGTTCAAAGTATTTTCTGATCACATCGGGCATTCATAGTTTCATAATATCTCATCACATGACCTATATGACGATTCAAACAATAAAAAAACCCTTGCTACAAGTTCATCAGTGCTACCGATATAAGTAATTATTATTCTAATAATAGGATACTTGCACAAAATTTTTATTCAAAAATCTCCATTATATTTCCTTAAAAAAGAGTACTTCAAAGGCCCTTGCTAAATATGAAACTCTATGAATGATTATTTTCTGAGAAATTCGAAAGTGAAAATCATCAACATTTTGAGCTTTCAGAAACGATTTTGATTAGTTTGGTTCATGTCACAAATCACATAATATACGATTTCAGATGGAAATTGGAAAAAAATTAAAATTACTCAAAAATAAACATTTACCAAACGAAATTATTATTTTTTTAAATAGTTTTCAAAAATATTACTAATTTAAAAAGTCGGATCGTTAATAAGAAGACTTCTTCCTTGTTTTACTCCAAAAGTTTCAAAATTTCCATATCAACAGTTTTTCAAAAAAATTATCAGAATCTGTAAAGGTGCATTTTTCTTAATTTGTTTTTTTAAGTTGATTTTCAAGATTTTCTCATGTTGCAATTTTTAATCGAAATAATTCGAAATTTCAGTAGGATGAGGTCCTTTCCTTACTCTTTTTACTCAAAAAGTTTCAAAATTTTCATATCAGCAGTTTTTCAAAATATTAAGAAAAATTAATTTGGTTTTTCAAGTTGATTTTTAAGATTTTCTCATGTCGCCATTTCTCACCAAATTAATTTGAAATTTCAGTATGATGAGCTCCTTTCCTTCCTCTTTTCACTTCAAAAATTTCAAAATTCGCCCATCAACAGTTTTTCGAAAAGTCATCAAAATGTGAAAGGGTGCATTTTTCTAAATTTGGTTTTTTTAAGTTGATTTTCAAGATTTTGTCTTTGTAATGTTTCCATTTTTCAAATAATTTGAAATGCTAGTATCATGAGCTCCTTCTCTTCCTCTTTTCACTTCAAAAGTTTCAAAATTTTCCCATCAACAATTTTTGATGATTTTTCATCAAAATGTGAAAGGGTGCATTTATCTTAATTTGGGTTTTTTAAGTTGATTTCAAGATTTTCTCATGTTGCCATTTTTCATCGAATTAATTTGAAACTTCACTATGATGAGCTCCTTCTCTTCCTCTTTTCACTTCAAAAGTTTCAAAATTTTCCCATCAACAATTTTTGATGATTTTTCATCAAAATGTGAAAGGGTGCATTTATCTTAATTTGGGTTTTTTAAGTTGATTTCAAGATTTTCTCATGTTGCCATTTATCATCGAATTAATTTGAAACTTCACTATGATGAGCTCCTTTTCTTCCTCTTTTTACTCCAGAAGTTTCAAAATTTTCCCATCAACAGTTTTTGATGATTTTTCATCAAAATGTGAAAGGGTGCATTTATCTTAATTTGGGTTTTTTAAGTTGATTTCAAGATTTTCTCATGTTGCCATTTATCATCGAATTAATTTGACATTTCACTATGATGAGCTCCTTTTCTTCCTCTTTTTACTCCAGAAGTTTCAAAAATTGCCCATCAACAGTTTTTGATGATTTTTCATCAAAATGTGAAAGGGTGCATTTATCTTAATTTGGGTTTTTTAAGTTGATTTCAAGATTTTCTCATGTTGCCATTTTTCATCGAATTAATTTGAAACTTCACTATGATGAGCTCCTTTCCTTCCTCTTTTTACTCCAGAAGTTTCAAAATTTTCCCATCAACAGTTTTTTGAAAAATCATCAAAATGTGAAAGGGTGCATTTATCTTAATTTGGGTTTTTAAAGTAGATTTCAAGATTTTCTCATGTTGCCATTTTTCATCGAATTAATTTGAAACTTCACTATGATGAGCTCCTTTCCTTCCTCTTTTTACTCCAGAAGTTTCAAAATTTTCCCATTAACAGTTTTTTGAAAAATCATCAATATGTGAAACGGCGCATTTATCTTATTTTGGATTTTTTAAGTTGATTTCAAGATTTTTCCATGTTGCCATTTTTCATCGAATTAATTTGAAACTTCACTATGATGAGCTCCTTTCCTTCCTCTTTTTACTCCAGAAGTTTCAAAATTTTCCCAACAACAGTTTTTTGAAAAATCATCAAAATGTGGAAGGGTGCATTTATCTTAATTTGGGTTTTTTAAGTTGATTTCAAGATTTTCTCATGTTGCCATTTTTCATCGAATTAATTTGAAACTTCACTATGATGAGCTCCTTTCCTTCCTCTTTTTATTGCAGAAGTTTCAAAATTTTCCCATCAACAGTTTTTTGAAAAATCATCAAAATGTGAAAGGGTGCATTTATCTTAATTTGGGTTTTTTAAGTTGATTTCAAGATTTTCTCATGTTGCCATTTTTCATCGAATTAATTTGAAACTTCACTATGATGAGCTCCTTTCCTTCCTCTTTTTTCCTCATTAACAATTTTTCGAAAAATCATCAAAATGTGAAAGAGCACATTTATCTTAATTTGGGTTTTTTAGATTGATTTTCAAAATTTTCTCGTCATGTTGCCATTTTTCACCAAATCAATTTAAAATTTCAGTATAATCAGCTCCTTCTCTTCCTCTTTCAACTTCAAAAGTTTCAAAATTTTCCCATCAACAACTTTTCGAAAAATCGTCAAAATGTGAAAGGGTGCATTTTTCTAAAGGACCCCGCACATTTCTTATGGAAAAGTGATCTATGTGGAATTTTGCTGAATTTTTGATATTGTGTATAGGGAGTCGTCCTTAACAAAAGTGGTCATTGCGCTAATGTTCAATACCCAACAGTTTTCAAGATATCTATTTTTAATTTGACACTCTTCAGTATGACGTCACCAATATGCTCGCAGCACCGAAAATTAGAACTATCCTTTTCACTTTTGACTTTGACTACCTATACTTATACTCTTCTCCTTTTAACATTTAGGAAATAGAAAAAAACAACAACAGGTACAAATGAAATCGCTATATGACAGACATCATGACATGAAGTTGACGATTGCGGCAGGTGCTAGGTGTTGTTTACATACCTACCTATTTGTCACTAATCGCTATCGCTATCTTTTTTTTTTCTTAATGTTAAAAGGAGAAGAGTGAAGTCAAAGTCAAAAGTGGAAAGGATAGTAATAATTTTCGTTGCTGTGACTGACGTCATACTGAAAAAATACATAAATCTACGCTTTCGTAAGTATTCGGTGCATTCGCTATGGCTTCTTTGGTTGCAAAACGTTTGATAAAATTAACAGAGTGATGTGACAGGTGCTGTGTTACCTAAAACTCCAGTAGAGGCAAATGGGGTCGTTAATTTAATGAAACTTGTTCGACTATCACTTTTACAATCACCAAAGACACATCGCTTCATCGCCTCTCGATAAAACATATCACGTTCTCCCAAAACTGCCATAATTATTAAATTTAAGCCCAAAATTGAAAAAAAATTAATAACATTGACAATGCTATTTATAGGTTATGTGACTTTGTTTGTCGTCATTCATAATGAAATCTTCTATTGATATCTTGAAAACTGTTGGGTATTGAACATTAGCGCAATGATCACTTTTGTTAAGGACGACTGCCTCTACACAATATCAAAAATTCAGCAAAATTCCACATAGATCACTTTTCCATAAGAAATGTGCGGGGTCCATTTGTTTTATTTTTAGTTGATTTTCAAGATTTTCTCATGTTGCCATTTTTCATCGAATGAATTTGAAAGGATAACGCACACCTAACATGAGATTTTTGGGCTCTATGGATTTTGCCCATTTTTTGATATGTTGTAGAGGATTTAATTCTTAACAACCTTTAAATAGGACGAAATCTTGTAGGTATTACCGGTCTTTGAGATATGAGCGTTGAGAGATGAACTTTTTTGCCACTTTTTGTGTGGAGAGTATACGAAAAACTGGTGTTTATCAGTCAAAATTTTGACAGGTCGACATATTTCACGTCACTAACAAATGTCAACATAGGCTAAGGCCGGGATCGCACTGGCGCCAACATTGACCCCAGTGCGGTCCCGACCTTAACCTATGTTGACATTAACTTTTGAGTGACGTAAAATATGTGAACCTGTCAAATTTTGATTGATAAACACCAGTAGCACCAGTATCTCGTATACTCTCCACACAAAAAGTCGCAAAAAACTTCATTTTTCAACGCTCATATCTCAAAGGCCGTAGAACCTACAAGATTTCGTCCCATTTAAAGGTTGTTCAGAATTAAATCTTCTACAACATCAAAAAATTGGAAAAATCCATAGAGCCCAAAAATCCCATGTTAGGTGTGCATTATCCTTTCAGTATGATGAGCTCCTTCTCTTCCTCTGTTCACTCCAAAAATTTCAAAACTTTTCTAATAATCTTAAAGTAATTTCTCTTCCAGCATCCAGCAAACATTTAATTATTTTTTTTTTGAATGAGCAGGAATTTGAGCAAAATGACTTGCCATAAGGATGCACCAGTTCTTTGTCAGTGCAATCTTTTCCGACATAAAAATAAGAATGAATAAAGATTGTTCTATAAACTTGAAATACAATAACATTAAATTTTAAAATGAAAAACAAGAACTTAAATCTAAATTACAGCAATATCCTTGTCCCCAATGTAACAAGAGTTATATCCGATAAACTGGAAAGCGCTCGAAAAAAAAGATTAAAGGAACATGAGACAGAGATATTTTCTTTCAATCAAAAAGCTTTGATAGAGCGTACATCCAAA